AAGTGTCAAATTTTACAGTGTGTCTCATTCATCCCAGTCACAGACGCTATCCTTCCACGGGTCACGGACAATTCATTTTGTTTAGTAGATTTAAGTGTTTTGTGCCGGTTCGATTTTTCTTCAAAGGGCGCTTCCACTGCCATTACCATCTTATAATCTTTAATAAACCCCAAGTCCAGTAAATTCCGACCGGTTGATATATATATATATATATATATATATATATATATATATATATATATATATATATATATATATATATATATATATATATATATATAGACCTGAGTGGACCCCATGCCCTCTAGGGACGGCTCTGGTGAATGAGAGCACACGATGTGGTATATTATTACTGGACAGGACAACACGTGAAGGTGCTATAGGTTTGTAGGTTTAAGAAAATGGACTCAATAATTGTAGATATAAGATGATTATAAAAAAAAAAGAGTCAAAACAGTGCTTACCTTTTTAAGAAAGAAGACCATGTTGGGTGATGACTCTTAGTGCCAGGTAACAGTTCAGGGACACCCCAGAACCCTTGAGCAGGTCAAGGCATACATTCCCAGCGGTGGTAAGACGCAAGAGCCAAATCCCTGCAACGACCACTGCAGAACGCTACTCCCGAGCACCACCGACACGGCACTGCTGCTACCAGTCTGTACATACATCAACATAATGGTTACTGTTCCCAAAACTACCAAGATCATTCATACTGTACCCTACACAGGTGTGAATACTGCCTACAACAAGTCATTCATACTATACCCTACACAACAAGTCATAGATACTGCACCCTATACCACAAGTCATAAATACTGTACCCTACACAACAAGTCATAGATACTGTAGCCTATACCACAAGTCATAGATACTGTCCGTTACCCACAAGTCATGAATGTGTGCTACACACAAGTCTAGATATGCCCTATACCACAGTCATAGATACTGTACCCTACACCACAAGTTATGGATACTATACCGTACACCACAAGTCATAGATACTGCCCTCACAAGTTATGGATACTGCCTTACACCTCAAGTCATAGATACTGTACTACCACAAGTCATAGATACTGTACCGTACACCACAAGTCATAGATACTGTACCTTACACAGAGCCGGCTTAAAGGTTTTGTAGGCCCTGTGCACTTTTTTTTTAGAAATCCCCTTAATTTCCTGATGCACCATTATGTGCCTTATTTTACCCTGACGACCTTCAAACATCACGCCAACACCAGCAACTCATGGCTTTGTTGACACAGGCAGAGAGACGCTGATATGTAAGTTTTTCCGTAATTTTAGGTAATTCTGTTTTATTGCGGTTTTCGCATGTTAAATCTAACAAATATACTCTGTTATGAATTGAAGTTGAGTTGAGTTGCTTATTATTTTGAGGATTGATAAAAACTACATTTTGTTTTGCGTATGTCTAAGAATAAAGTTGTCCATTTATTAATTCGTGATTATTTAGTCCTTTGTGACGTCTACTCAATCAATGTTAGTTTCCGGCAAGTCAGGTTTAAAGGATGTCTAAGCACTAACCAAACAGATACTAAATTTACGTTTATAATCACTTAGTCTTATGACTGCAATGTATTTCTCTCTTGTCAATTTTTCGATTATTTTCATTTACCATGTTGGAACATAAAAGTTAATAGGACATACCACAGTGAAAATACATACATCATATCTCAAATTTCGTAGGCCCCTTAAACCTGTAGGCCCTGGGCACTGTGCCCACTGTGCCCCCTTGATAATCAGCCCTGCTTACACCACGAGTCATAGATACTGTACCCTACACCACAAGTCATAGATACTGTACACACACCAAGTCATAGATACTGCACCCTACACCACAAGTCATGGATACCATGCTACAGTTCATGAATGCTGTGCCCTACACCACAAGTCATAGATACTGTATTCACACAGGTAATGCTGTGCCTACACAAGTCATAGATACTGTATACACAAATCTGAATATTGTACCCTAAACCACAAGTCATAGATACTGTACCGTGCCCACCAAGGTCATTCATACTGTATCGTACACCACACACACCAAAGATATTGCACCCTAAACTACAAACAGCAAAGGTATTGTACCATATACAACACACATATCAAAGATATTGTACCATATACAACACACATATCAAAGATATTGTACCATATACAGTACAACACACATATCAAAGATATTGTACCATATACAACACACATATCAAAGATATTGTACCATATACAACACACATATCAAAGGTATTGTACCATATACAACACACATATCAAAGAATGTTGTACCATATACAACACACATATCAAAGATGTTGTACCATATACAGTACAACACACTTATCAAGATATTGTGCCATATACACACATATCAAGATATTGTATATACAACACAATATCAAGATATTGTACCATATACAACACACATATCAAGATATTGTGCATATACAGTACAACACACTTATCAAAGATATTGTGCCATATACAACACACATATCAAAGATATTGCCTCATATACAACACACATATCAAAGATATTGTACCTATACAGTACAACACCTTATCAAAGATATTGTGCGCAACACACATATCAAGATGTTGTGCCATATACAACACACATATCAAGATGTTGTACCATATACAGTACAACACACTTATCAAAGATATTGTAGCCATATAACACACATATCAAGATGTTGCATATAACACACATATCAAGATATTTGTCCATATACAACACATATCAAGATGTTGTGCCATATACAACACACATATCAAGGTGTTGACATATATACAACACACATATCAAGGTATTGTACATATACAACACACATATCAAAGATATTGTTCACCATATACAACACATATCAAGATATTGTACCATATACAATTCAACACACTTCAAAGATGTTGTGCCATATACAACACACACATATCAAAGATGTTGTACCATATACAACACACATATCAAGATGTACCATATACAACACACATATCAAAGATGTTGTACTGCATATACAATGCACACTTATCAAAGATATTGTGCCATATACAACACACATATCAAAGATATTGTACCATATACAACACACATATCAAAGATATTGTACCATATACAGTACAACACACTTATCAAAGATATTATTGCCATATACAACACACATATCAAAGATATTGTACCATATACAACACACATATCAAAGATATTGTACCATATACAATAGCACACTTATCAAAGATATTTGGCCATATACAACACACATATCAAAGATGTTGTGCCATATACAACACACATATCAATGTTATTATATATACAACACACATATCAAAGATGTTGTACCATATACAACACACATATCAAGATGTTGGCCATATAACACATATCAGATGTTGTACCATAAACACATATCAAAGATATTGTGCCATATAACACACATATCAAGATGTTGTGCCATATACAACACACATATCAATATTGTGCCATATACAACACACATATCAAGATGTTGTACCATATACAACACACATATCAAGATGTTGTGCCATATACAACACACATATCAAAGATGTTGGCCCATATAACACACATATCAAGATATTGTACCATATATACAACACACATATCAAAGTGTTGTGCCATATACAACACATATCAAGATTTGTATATAACACATATCAAGATGTTGACCATACAACACACATATCAAAGATGTTGTACCATATACAACACACATATCAAGATATTGTACCATATACAACACACATATCAAAGATGTTGTGCCATATACAATTACACAACACACATATCAAAGATATTGTGCCATATACAACACACATATCAAAGATGTTGTGCCATATACAACACACATATCAAATGTTGTGCCATATACCTACACATATCAAAGGTGTTGACCTCATATCACACATATCAAAGATATTGTACCATATACAACACACATATCAAAGATATTGTACCATATACAACACACATATCAAAGATATTGTACCATACACACGAAACACTGTATATTGTATCCTATATCACACACATCAAATGTATTGTACCACATTCCACACACATCAAATATATTGTACCATACGCCACACACACACACACACACACACACACTAAATATGTTATGCCACCACTTTAATAATATTGCACTGTACACCACACAGCTGATATACGAGGTCCGACACGAAAATAAAGAGACTGACCCTATAATTCGGGAACCAAGAGCGGGAGGGGGTCAAATAAACGGTTATTGAACATGTTCTAACCTGTCACAGTGGGACAAGGCTCAACCCGATCGCTTCACTCAGTACAAGTGGAAGCGTGTTGAAGTACAGGCGTATTCTTACGCTCGAGAGGAAAATGTCGGAATGCAAAACTGAGCAACGAGTTAACATCAAGTTTCTCGTTAAACTTAAGAAATCCGCGACAGAAACTTTTCAATTATTGACTGAGGCTTACGGTCAGAAGGGAACTACTTTGAAGGCGATCACAGTTGATTTTCTTGATTTGGTAAATAAAAAGAGCTACAGCATGTCTCGTTTTTTTGTGTGTGTCGGACCTCGTATTGTACCACATTTGTGATAGCAGTGAGTGGTTAGGTTGAGTCACCCTTTTACACACCTGTTGTAATGAGTACAATGAGTACCATTCTTGTTGTCCATAAGTATAGCTGAGTAGGGACGCTCTGCTATCACCACCTCACCCCTTTATTTATGTGCCGTGCTGCCGCCAAGTATCGACCTGTGTATGTACTATTGCATTGTACCAGACCCTTATTAATGAACAAACTACAATGAAACATTCTCATAAGAAAGTGCCTTATAAGCGAAACAGTCTCAGTGGAGGCCTTATGCATTTTTGTTAAACAATTTGCTTAGATTACGACAATCTCAGTGCCATACAATTCTGCAAAAGCCCACAAGTATAAACTCTCTACAACAAAAACCCAAGTAGAGTTATCTGCCGTCTCTTACATTACTGGGTCAATTGAATTTGGGATAATTCTGTGGAATGGATGTTTGTAGAAGACATTTAAATTGTGCCCACAAGCCTAAAACACAGTTGGAACCTCTGCACTAGTTCATTATACATAAAAATAACGATGCCTAATAAATTACGTAAGCAGCTAACACCACTGACCTTCTTCTGGTGTAGAGATAGCGCAGCAGAGGGCATTGGGCAGGATCGGACTGTCCACAAAACAAGGTCACTTCGTTGTTACTAGCTGGCACAGGCTCATCTGGTGAACACGAATTACGTTTGGTTCAGTTAAAAAAGCAAAGATCCTGCATGAGAATTTGGTAAGTTTTTGTTTATGATGATATTTTAAACACAGGCAAACAGAGACAGTGAGGAGCCATTTCGTGTGTAGACCCGACCAGGAAAAACTTTTACTCAGTGGGTGAATCAGCCACTTCTAAAAAACCTTTCACCTGTGAAAATTTGGTATTGTAGTTTGTTTCTCTAGGCTGTTAGATGATAAGACCTGGGCGGTAAGGCTCAGCTGCGCCCAGTAATTTAAAGTGGCAATGGTTAACTAAGCAAATACCACATCAGAATAGTTCCTACCAATCTTGTGTTAGGAGTCTAGAGCATTACCAACTCAACCCTCCTGAAATGTACGAAGTGTATAATATTATGGAAAAAAAATCGAAAAAATTTAAATTAAAATGAAAAACTTGTTCATCAATCATGTATTTTCCCACTATACTACAGGATTATGGGAATTAAGAGCAAAACTTTCATACACTGCTATCATTCGTCACCAGAGCCGTCCCTAGGGTATTAGAAGACGTGTCATAGGAGGGAAGATCAGCTAAAACTAATGGCCCATCACTGTTTTGGTAGATTTTAGTGTATATAAACAGAAAATAATTTCAGTTTCAATATTTTGCAACCTTTTGCTAGGTAAATTTTAGCGTGAAATTTATCGAAAATCTAACGTACAGCTGCATTAGTGCATTACAATTAAATAGTGAACATTGCTTTCTGACTTCATTCTTTAACAACCCAACTAACAATATTTTTTCTGTTTCAGATTCTGATGCATTTATAAGTTGATAATATTTGCGATGGCTGCTTGTGTCAGGACGAGGAACCAAAAATCCAGCCATCTCAGTCACTATCTTGGGTCTGGGAGAGAGCTCCTGAAGTCGGAGTTGCCTACATTGAGAGATGCTTTGAGATACTGTGTTTTAATCAGGCAAATCAGTGAAAAGAACCAAAGAACTTACACAAACAAAGACATTGCCAGTGATATGACCAAAGCTGTCTTGGCACAGTACACTCTAGCTATCGCTCAGTTCAAGCCTCCAGTCATAACAAGTCAGAAGAAGATTAGTGAGAGACTGCTAGCCAGTTGGGAAAAGGCAAAAGATATCTCTCTTGGGAGAGGAAAACTTGCAGTTAAGGACAGCTTTTCCAAGCAACTGGACCAGTTATTTGACATAATTACTTGCAAGTGCCCAATTGTTCTCTGTCCTGAGTTTGGATGCGATCGTGACTGTAAATCCGAGGCCCACATCTCCTGTATTTTACAGCGTGAACTGAAGATTCCTGTGATCGAACTGGCATTTGTCAAAGCACAGAGAGAGAAGACTGGCAGTATAGGGGCTCTCATGATTTCCTAGCCAAGATATTCCGGAGTCCAAGAGACAGGAGGCTGCCACAGAGAGACAGAAGAGGAGAAGAGTTGCCGAGGAAAAGAGACTTGAGAAGGCCCAGGGTGAGGTAAAAAAGGCCGATGATTGGAGTCAAGCTGATTCAGAGTTTAATGACTTCCCCATGGCTGATCCGAGTGCTGACCAGGAGAATGGTGACTTTGTCCCTAACCCAGAAAATAATGATCCCAAACCTTCCAGGCATAAGATTCGAAATAGGAAAGATATCCCGAGCATAGCTCTGGCCAGCATGCGACACCACACTGGTCTCAGAGAAACTGCAGAGATAGCAACAGCTGCCTGGATTGACGGTGGTTTGATAACACCTGATGATGTTCACCTGGTGATAGATCATAACAAAGTAAGGAGAGCTCAGGAGAAACTTGTCAGTAACCAAGAAGAGGAGTTTGATAAGGGGATAAGAGAAAATGGAATCAATTGTTTGTTCTTTGATGGGAGAAGGGATGACACTAAAGTGTTCATGAAAGTTGGAGATTCTGACAAGTTGTTCCCTGCCATGGTGAAGGAGGAACACTACTCCTGCTGCAGTGAACCAGGAGGGAAGTATTTGTGGCATTTCACTCCAGAGAAAGATGACATCAGGAAACCAGCTGAGATAGTGGCAGATAACATTGTGAACTGGCTCAGAGAGAGGAACGTAGACCAGACCCTGCAGGCCATTGGAGGGGACAGCACCAACACGAACACAGGGTGGCAAGGGGGGTCATACAGTGGATAGAGCGGAAGATTGGGAGGAAGCTGGTCTGGATTGTTTGTGACCTCCACACCAACGAGTTGCCACTCAGACATCTGATCCAGGAGCTGGATGGCAAGACTCTTTCAAACAACAGATGGTCTGGTCCTCTTGCAAGATGCTGGACTCTGCCACTGAGTTAGAAATAAATCCGAGCTTTGAAAAAATCACAGTTGGCCCTCCACTCGTTGAGCTTGCACATACTGTCATTGACGACCTGAGTACTGACCAGTACTATGGTTTCATGATTTGCAGTGCCATCAAAACTGGGGTCATGCCTGATAGACTTGCTTACCTGCAGATAGGTCCAGTCTCACATACTAGGTGGCTCACAACGGCTCTCAGGTTCTGCAGAATTTGGGTCGCTCATCATAAACTGAAAGGGAACCAGCTTCACAACCTGAGACTTATTGTCCAATTCATCGTGAGTGTCTACTTGCCAAATTGGTTCAACACCAAGGTCAAGTCATCGTTCTCCGAAGGTCCGAGGCATGTTCTCTTCCAGCTTGAGCTCCTGAGGAGTCAGCCAAGGAAGGTTGTTCAGATTGTGGAGCAGACTGTGAGGAGATCTTACTGGTATGCTCATCCCGAGGCAGTTCTGCAGACAATGCTCTGCAGTAAGGATGAGGAGGAGAGAAGAGTGGCAGTCAAAAAGATCTTGGATATGAGACTTATGAGAGGATCTGGGCATGACGAATCAGTTGGTGACGATTCCTTCAGGGTCAGGAAGACTCCTGAAGTCAATCTAGGTGCCAAGACCCTCACTGATCTCATAGATCTGGATAACATCCAGGCTGGCAGTGAGCCCCCTCTTACCTGCAGCCTCACCAATGTTCAAGTCAGAGCTTTCCTGGACAACCCCATGCATGTCCCTGCCTGGCCCTCGCACACCCAGAGTATAGAGCGTTGTGTACAGCAAGTGAGCGAGGCCAGCAGTCACGTGTACAGCCAGGAGAGGAGGGAAGGCTACATCCGAGCTCAGGTGGTCAGCAGGGAGGTGATGAGTAGAAACAGAAGCAAGAAAGACATGTTCTCTATGGTGTGCAGCAACACCTGGTCGTAGTAGTAAAACCGGTTTTTGTATTTGATGATTTTGTTTTCTAAAGGAATATTAAATTTAATAAATGTGTCAAGATCATTCGTTTCACTATTCTGGATCATTTTCATCCTAATAAATTAACCTGATACATTTACTTTACTTTAAATAAGCTATTTAGTGGTGTTGGTAAAAGGGTGGGAATACTGAATTTTCATAAGATTTCAAGTTAAAATTTACCTAGCAAAAAATGAAAACTTTTCAAATCTGAAGATATCACATGATTCTGCACATAGAATTACATCATTAATACCATGGGCCGATTTTTCAAACTCCAAAAAAAAATATTCGCCTCCGTATGACACAGCCTACTAGGGTATGGCAACAGGTGCGACCGCCCCGGGCCCCGCGCTAGTGGGGCCCCGCGTCCCTTACCTCACCCAACACCAGAATTAGTGACAGAAGACCACCTGAAGGATTAGTGATCAGCACAGTTAAGCAATGCATCTGGTGACATGAGGTCAAAGGTAGGATCTTACCACCCAGACTGAAAACAATGTAATTCTTTACTGTGCTCTCTGTCGAATAGGAGTGAGGACGTTGAGAGCTGTCACCTGTCAGTGTTGTCGAAACTCTAAATCTTCAGTTGTCCGTGATTTGTGCTTTGTGAAACTGTTGATATACATTATTTTACTATCATACACAGCCCTCGTTTTTTATTATACCATTGGCCAGCAGGGATAGAGACAGATACAGAAAATACATCTCGGTTGCAGACAAAAAGTAAGAGAGAAGAAATCGAAATGTCAATGAAAGGTTCCCTAGAAAAATATGTATTTTCTAAAACACCTAAGGCTTTTAAAATGGACAGTTATACCTACGCTAACGGCATGCTGATAAAGATCTATGTGATCCAGCCAACTGGCTGATATTTCGGTATAAAAGGGACCTGTTAAGCTATCTAGTGAAAATTACGTGCTTCCAACAAATGGTGAAAACCGACACTTTTCAGACGACTTTTACATGCGAAGATTGCCAAATGGAGAAATATATGAAAGATGTTATAACATAGTAAATTACATAATACTTGGCATATTAATAGTATGATTGGGAAATTAACAATATGTATATTACAGTATGTATGTATGTAACTACAGTATAAAAATCAAAATAAATTAGTACATATAGCACGCTTCAACATACAGTACCGACCTGACCTAGCTCAGTACCGACCTGAACTAGCTTGGAGAAGGACGTGCCTTTATGTGCTCGTTTTAGTGACCATAGAAAATGGCCGCCGTGGGGGATGAGGAACGGTGTGTGGGGAGAGACGACCCCCCGGCCACTCTGTTAAGTCAAGTGGAACAACTGCGGAGAGAGGACGTTTCAAAAGAGAGAACGAAGCCCTCAGAACTGAACTCCTTCAGGTGGGTATCCTGCTCAGCAGGACACCTACAAAGGAGGGTCAGGAGGAGCAGGAGTGGAGAGTGGTTGTCTCCAAGGGTCTAAGGTCAGACTCAGGAAAGCTGACTAGGGTGTGGAGTGCAGAAACCCCTACCAGGTGTTGGAGGAAGACAAGAGGCATGACGGCGTGGTGGCAGAAGAGGAAAGGGCAGTTGGTCAAACCCTGCTCAGTGGTAAGGTCGTGGTAGTTGGGGGCAGCCAGGTGAGGTTCTTGGATACGACTTTTTGCGAAAGAGATAGGAAACATAGGACTAGGGTGTTTTTACATGGGGCTGGGATAGGACATGTAGCTGAGAGGATGGATAGGGTTTTGTCAGGGTAGGGTA